AAAATCAAATTTCAGTCTTATTTTACATTTTTTTCATTCTTAGGAATGTCTAATTTCAGTTAAACAAGCAATTCCGTATTATATTTATAAATCTTTATAACATTATACAAAAATTAGATTTTTCTTAAAAATTGAAATTTTGCCGGGAATGGGGCTTTAAGCGTTGAAATTTATACGAATAGGATCCAGACGGTAGTTGCTAAATACAACGGGTTCAGCCGAGGGGCGTGGCTTGTATTTATGGCGACGTCATGTATAATTATGCCGTCTACCAAAAAACATCACACTATACTGTGTGTGACCATGGTGTGACCATCTAACTAAGCCTGGGCAGGTCATACTAGGAGATCTTTTCAGCTGTCTGGGGCCTAATCCTAGATTGTGCGTCCAGCAACCCGCCACTCTGTCTAGGCCTATGCCTCATTTAATGTGAAGTTAGACCTATGCAGTCTGCTGTAAGACCCTCGCCTAGGCTACTGAAGAACCTGCACTGAATAGGCGCATAATACGTACGGTAACATTTATACAATACAAATATACACGACATTGTAAATTTAATTTATTTACTTAAATTACATAGATTACGGTAACATTCGGTTCCATTTCTCTTTTTCTGAAATATAGCCGGCAATATTGATTCAAAGCAATGAACAGTAAAAAAAAATCTTAACTTCAGCAGTTATGTCATGTTGTAATTTTAATTTAGGCCCGGCCATTTTCTTTTCCAGTAAGATAATTTGTTCATAGGATTAAGATTGGAAAATCCATAGACTAAGTAGTACAGGATTTGCCCGACAAGGGGGCCGATGTCCCCGACGAAAAAAGGTGGGCATCCCTCAATATTCTTTGAAAGTGTTCCACGGGGCTCCCCCTCCCCCCGAAAGAAAATAATTTTTGGTTTGAAAGGCTTACTTCTATAGTCGATTTTGGTGTCTACTAATATGTAGAAAATAGGCCTACATTCGTTGTCCCAAAACGCGCGTGCGCTTACGTACATTTACGCTATGATTGTGTGGGCCTAAAGAATCAATATCCAACAAGGGGCCGGGCTTAGCAGAAAGTGCCATTAATTCATTACGTCATCTTGTCATCTCAGATTGTTTTTTATCGCAATGTCAATTGCTCCAAGTCTTTAAAACTCTCTCATTTTGTATGTTATCTAATGATGTTTTAAGTATACAAAGTACTGTAAGCAATTGAAGCACCGGATTGACTTTAGTATGTTTATAAAATTGAAAGCATAATAGGCCTACTAAATTATATAACTTATTATTATATAACTCAACATAGACAGAATATACTGACCCGTATTTTTACTTTAGCCCATCTGCAGGAAACTAACAGAAACACAAAAATTATAATTACCAAAGTGTAAAAACAAGTTGATCAGGCAGACCAAGTAAATTTTCCAATGGTGCCCACAATTTTTTGCTTCAGTGTTATACAGAGTCATAATTGGTGAAACAATGGCGCGCCTACACTATCAGCAGACCAATACGTTTACCTCATTGCTGCATAGTTTTACAGTTGATAGCCTGAAATAAAAATGTTCTGGTACAAAATGAGTTTAACGCCCTCTTAACTCTTTTCCTGTTATAGCACGGCCGATACAAACAAGGAAATATATATTGCATTGACTGTCATGGCGACGAGATTCTGTATTTTTTTTTACTATGCATACATTTTGAAAGCCCAATGTAAATAGGACTTATGCTTTCGGTGCTTTAGAGTAGCCCTACTGATGAACACAGCGTCCCTCCATACTTCAAGTTGTTGATCTGTGAAGTATTTCGACAGTTACACAGAAACTGGAAGTCTCAGGGATCATAATAGCAAATAAATAGCTAGTAACTTTATAATATAGTGTCCAAGTATTATTTTTTTTAAACCTTTACACATTAAGACATATTCCACCCTATGTTTGGTCGGATTATATCACTCCATACTATAGTCATAGCTTAGGAATATTTCCTTAAAAAGAAATTGATAGAATAATTAATATTTCAGTTACTGCTTTAGTGTTTTTTGTATGCATGCAGTTATAGTATATTTTTGGCTGAAATTAAAGAAACAATTATATACTAACGTTTTACCGGTTTGACAATCGATCCGACCAGTTACCAAGAGTGTCACACGTAATTAATCCATCTATAATTCTCCCTCCCCCACTTATTAACCTAAATCAATGTGATGTTTACTCTTATATCTAGAAAACTTGGTCTGAAGATTGCTAAATTCATTATGAACTGCATGGAGTGCGATTTGAGAACAAAATCACTGGTACAAATACTTGGTGTTAAATTGGACAATATTTGGTATCTTCGAGCATGTTATTCTTGTGTGATTTGAATTGTTTTATTAGTAAACTGGTAAAAAAGAGGTTAAATTTTACGAAAACATTGCTAACACGTTGACGAAAAAAAGTATTGTAAAGACAATATTATTGTACCATTATAACGATGCCTAATTTCATTAATGTATGGTACTTTATGGCTATTTAATGTTGGCCTATACCAACTCCTCTAAACTAAATTCATATTTTTTAAAGGTGCAATGGCGTCATAATTAAACTCGTAACTTCGAAAAGATCGCTGGCGCTGGGAGTGATCGAAGTATCACAGGTGTAAAGTGAAAATGCTGTAGCGACTGTTTAGTGATTCTATGGAAACTAGGCTTTGATTATTTTTATTTTATAAGGCCTATGTGATTAACCGAACTGGTATTGCAAAGAAACAGATAAATTTCATGATTGCTGTTTTTCGTTGGGTATCTCTACATATACACGTATAATACCTTCCATATAAATGAATATTTAAGTATAATAATAACCAATGACATATTTTAATTCTTAGTTCTCATGAAAATGACCTAGAGTTGGACCTTTATGTACAAAATAATATGTATATTGCTTCTTTTGACAAGATAATTATAATATTTCCTCCGAAGCAGTGGTTTCCGCCACAGGATCAAAATGGAAGAATTGGTATGGTCTCGTATTGTTGATTTATTATTTAATTTATCATTTTAATTTATCTTGTCCTTTACCTAATAAAGCCTACACAATTTAGCACTCATATGATGATTATCATAGACATGTGTTTCTCATTTTTTTTTTTATTTAACCTCAAAAAAAATATTTACATCCATAATAATAATGAGTGTTTTTCAAATGTTTCTAAAAATAGAAAGGAAAATGAAAGCTTATTACAAAAACACATACAGCATTTGTTTAACTTTATTTTGAATCTTATGTTAAATATTAATACATGACTACAATAGACAATTATGACAATAAACAATAAATCAGCAACCCCATACGTTGTAACTATTTTCTCGATTCAGAGCATTTGAAAATTTCACATTGAAATTAATATTCAAACGTAGTTTTTCACTTGACGTTTACATAGACAACTGGGTTGTCATAATTCCACTGTAGATCTTCATACTTGTTATCTGCTCCTGGCTCAACGTTGTACGCCGTATAAGCCTGGAAATATCAAGAATTATATTAATTTTATAGGTTTTGTGACAGTAGCGTAGTCAGTGTTCAACTCATAAGAGGTAAGTGCAATCTTTTTGTAATCCAAGACCCGTACAATGTAGTTCTATGTGACCGGCGTTAGGCTTACATCCAGTGAATTGTGAAGTTAAGCATTTCTACTGAGAACATCATGAAACAATCTTAGGCTGCCAGTTGTCTGATGACCGCCATAGGGCGTGAAACTCAGAGTAGGCCTAAGACAAAAAGACATAAATAATATGGAAAAGTAGAATATAAGAAATAGAAGAGGCTGTGTCGGTTTGGTAGTCAGGACAGGACTATATGTGTTGGTCATATTGTTTGATAACTGATTATTACATTATACAAATGCTAAGTTAAAAAGCCAGTGCTGTATTTGGAATTGCATGTTGGAACATGCAGTTTTAATTATTTGAATAATTATAAAGCAATGGCTGACAATAGTAAATGCAGCGTTTCTTTACCGATGGTTGTTCGTCATTTCTGGAAGCTTCTTCGGTTTTCTTTAAGATAAAAGTATATTTATACATATATTCGTATATTTGTATCTAGTATTAAACATGTAAAAGTCAAAAACTAAAATCAATCACAAAAGCCTCACAGACATATAGGCCTATTTTCAAAGTTGTGACTCCGACGTGGTCTGTGTATTGTTGATAAATAATACCATGTCTAAAACTACGCTATTTAAAATAATAGCAAGGACGGACGTTTTGGCCAATGATCTACCTACTTGGTTTGTACAAGTTGAGGATCAGTTCGTATTTAGTGGACTTACTGTTGAATATACACATACAATGCTAATGCTTTTCTCCAAACTAACATAGCACAAGAAGTGTAGGATTACACCTACAGTATTTTGAAACAACTGTTGTGCAAAGATTGCTACCAAAATTATGCTAGCCTCAACTATTGCAAAATAATCCTGAGCAGTGACAGACACCTTGCCTTGGGCATTACTCGAGCGCATAGCAGTTATAAAACGAGAACTCTTCAGCAGAACCTGATGTATTTGGTGCTACTAAGCAATTGCTAGGACAGTTCGTTTAAGCGTCGCAAGCTCCCCTCGTCATTGTAAAACATGATGACTAAAGAAATACACGTAACAAGCAAACGTTGTTGCCTGTGGATATATACGGTATATTCTTCGAGCTTTGAATCAGCTTTCAGTGGCGAATTCAATGGGAGGGGGCATCCGGTCCGGCCCCTCCGTCTCCCCTAAAATTTTCAAAATTTAAAGAAAATTTAGAAAAAAAAAGAAGAAAATTCGACTCAAATTTTGCACCTAAAAGTGACATTTTCGACCATCTAGAGGTGCCATAATCATAAAATATTTTACCTCAGCCCCAACCGGTAGGACTGAGGTAGTATAGTCCCTCAATATATGAAGTCTTTCTCCGGGCCCCCTCTATATCAAATTCCTAGTTACCTACTGCTTTTGTTCTTCAAGTAATCATCGTCTACACGGATTACCATAAAAACCAGGGGGAAATGTTAGCGAGTGTTGCTATCTAACGTATAAGTATTAAAACTTATGCAAATCGGCATTAAGTTGTTTTGAAATGTCTTATTGGTAACTTTTATTTATTTTAAATTAGCAATTCAGTGTTATATAAAAAATTGAGGATATTTCGTTTGATTTTTGGAGAAATACCTTACCATCTTTCTTACCGGAGGTAGCTCGTAATCTCTGCAGGATGTTGTTTCGGTGACCTTTAAATGAAATAATATCAATCAATAAGAAAATTATCTTCCTCTTTATATAAATTCATATCTATTAGTGTTACTACTACTATTCATGACATAATTTATCATGACAAACAAAATTAACGTTTTTTAATGGAACATTAACCAATGAATAATGTACGATAGCCACACTAGTATATTAATGTTAGCAGTACGCTGCGATTCAGGGGCATGTCAGATTTGTGTGTATTGCTAAAGTGCACATGTTGTATATGAGCCTATGAGGCCCAATATAATTCATCTTCAGTGACATCACTTTATGGTTATTATATTATCTACATCCGATTAAAATAAAAGTAGGCCAAGCCTATGCCATAATTATCATCTTAGCCAAAAGAAAAGCCCCGCCAGTTTAGTAAAGGTTCAGTATCAGTGTGTACATGATACTGGTATCGCACCTGTGCTTTTGAATTTCTCATTTTCCAGAGGACGCCACATACAATTGAAGATAAAAGGATTCCCATAAAGAAACCTACAAACGTCATTCCAGCAACAAGAACAGTATAATATGAGCTTGACAATTTTTGAGGTAGGCCTACTATGTAAACAAAATACTGATAGTCAGAATATAATAGTTATATTTGCATAATAATAAACGACAGGACGTATTATAAAACATTTTATTTGTGTTATATATCGTTATATAAATTCACAAAAAGCTGAATTATTTGACTTTTTATTGGCATTTAATGTACATAAAATGTGTCACAAGGCGAGTCGACCAATCAATTCATCAATAAATCAATATCATCATTCAGTCAATCATAACAAATAATACAGAAACAAATTACGTGAATAATTAGAAACATTGGAATACTGAAAATTTGTAGTTCATATAGTACATTCATGATTATAAAATAGTATGAATGCGTAAATCAAACAAAAAATAAACAAACTTATGACTGAGCAAATTATGTAATAAATGAAAGGATAGATGCGTCGATGGATGGATAGGCGAACAGATAAATGAATGAATGAATGAATGCAAGATTTAAGAAATATATTATATTAAAACTTACCCGTTTTGGAAATACTTGCTATAGATGTCCAATGTGTTTGTAATGAAAATACATATTTAATTATAAAAAAAAAAAACACGTGAATAACGTTTTAAACTTATTTAAATTGTTGGAGAACGTACCAACTTTATTTCAATTAATCAGTCAGTTCATCAATATATTATTATCATTTTAAGAATTAACATACTACAATACAAATTACAATATGGGGTTATAACAAATGGTGTGTATAAAAACGAATGGAGAAATAATAGTAGGTCTACACAAATCAAATCGAATATTGTATTCAGTAACAATAATCCCATTTTTATCATGAAAATATACAAATGAAGTCAGTTTGGTGCCTAGCAATAATTTGGATACTATAAATAAACGCATAATTATAGTAAACATTATGTTTATTTTCAATTTCCGTCGGAATCGTGAATAAAACAAAACAAAAATCCGTATAAATGAAGAAAATACATACTTGTTCCGGAGGGACTTGATACGAGTGTCGTTGATGGTGCTGATGAAAAATATACATGTATTTAAAATAACAAATAAATAAATACTATTGGCAAAACTTCCATCAATTTTATAAGAGTTTTCATGACGAGCAATCCTAGTCGATATAAAAATGAAGTCAATATAACATCAATTCAACAATGGTCAAAAATAAGAAATAACATCTCAAAAAGAAAAACAACAATACCCTCATTTGGATCAAGGCTAAAAATGGATTAAGACATTCACCAAGAGCATTATTGAATAATTGTATTGCAATTATGCTTACAACTTACAAGTAGGTCTTAACAGTAGCAGAGTTCCTTTATTACTCAGCTTTCCTTCATCCCCACTGTAAGCTACATTCTCTACTCGACATTGGTAGTCTCCTTCATCCACTTCACTGACTCTGCTGATCTCTAATGTTGTATCTGACTGTGGATACTTCTCAGTATTAGACACACAAAGTACGCCGCCATCTTTGATCCATGTAATGGTGATAGGTGTTGGAACGCCATCAGATACGTTGCATGTAAATGTCGCAATTTCATTTTCGTTGAGAATGTTCCCTTTTGGTTCCAAATTAGGTGTGTCAAGATCTGACAGTAATGTAAGTTCAAATTATTCCAAAATACAAAATTATTCAAAAAATACAAAATATAGTCCTTTAATTTGGTATTGAGGTCTTTTCAAGTCGCAGCGGAAATATGTGGTATATATTTCCCAAAGACATCCGTTGCATTTTCACTATTAGCGAGTGAGTGAAAGTTTTTTTTTTTACTTTAGTTTGATTAATTTGTCAACACACAAACAACCCCTCCCTCTATTTTTACAATGTAATCCCGATTCTTGTTCGAGCCACATAAGAAGAGGTTCGGGAATTGAACGGAGGTTTTGCACTTGTTTTTGCTTGTTTCATACAAAAATACAGGAAAGGCTGCTGCTCTCTGCAGGATGAAACGGCGCCGCGAGCAGCTCTCTGAAATGGATACATTCGTTTCGTTTTCGTTTTGTTTATTAATCTTTCAAGAACCTTAATTCATGATTGAAAACAGTATACCGAGTAGAGGCACACACTGAATATGCAACAAGCAATAGAAAACAATGTTTTTGCAGTACTTACAATGAACGGTTAATTTTGAAAACCCATTCGCATTGTCACCGGAGGATGTAGTTACCCTGCATAGGTAGTAACCTGTATCGTTAACTTTAACGTTAGATATAATGAGGTATCCATCAGGACTTATGCTGTATCTACCTCTTGGTTCTCTGTTAAATAAATTCGTTATAATAGGATCCCCCTGCAGTACACCATCTGCATCACATTTCACCCAAGTCTCGCCTGCCACATTTTCTCCTGGTAGGGTTGTTGTGAATGCATACGTAATCAGCGCATCTTCATTTAATTTTGCTGTAGCAGGCTGCACTGTTACGGTTGACGGGCGAGCACACATTCCTGGAACTAAGCAAAAGTGATTGGCCTACTGGGAAATATTGTAGTGGCCTACCATGTGTAGAAATTACTTAGAACTAGTATCATTGTGATGGAATATCTTATAACATTATGAAATATAAACTAACTACACTTAGGTTGTTATATAATTTATTTTATTTTATTTTACTGTAGTTGACCTATGCTTCAGCGTTTTGACTAAAAGAAAACTAAAAAAAGACATAAAAATGTAATATTTACCAGCACTTGAAGCCAAGGCTATCAGGCAGACAAAATACATGTTGCGATAAATCTTAAAATATTTGCCTTCAGTATCATATATATGTATCATCGATGTAAAAAATACACTACGGTATCTGAAAGATAGATTCCTGTAGGTTTTTATACTCAGACCAGGGAACAGTTCAACTTTGAACCTTTAACTTGTCTATTATTGAAGTTGGTAGAGTCACTTATAGACAAGCTTGGATCCGATGTTCAAATCGGAAAATACTGAAGGTTTTGGTGAAAATTATAAACCTATATCCTTCTTCCGGTTATTTTAAAAATCGTTGAGGGCATTGTGTACAGTAATTTTCGTTACTATATATTTTTTTAGATTAAAAACATCAAAATAAGGCGCTGCAATTAGAAACATACACACGTATTTTAACTGTAAAAATAGACTGATCATTTCTGATGCCCTCTAGAATAGGGCAAGTTAAAAGAAAATGAGTATTATTTTCTTCCTCGTTCACATTACAGCATTTATGGAGCCCATTAGCATTAGTCATCAGACCAGCTATTTTACCATTAAGAGGAAGGGTATTCAATCTTAATTTAAATTTTAATGATGTATCCTCAAAGTCATTGTTGTCAAAGAGATATTCCTCCAATGTAGGTGCATTCTTTGTAATCATATAGTCTTGAATTGACGATTTCCCTTTCCTTCATCAAACCATTGAGATGTGTGAGATCTCTCAGAATGTTTTGTGTTGAAAGCCCATTGCATGGTAATATTATTACTGCTGTTACGAATGTCAAAGAATACAATGTTATTACAATCTTTCAGGATATTTTCAATGTAAATTAAAAAAAATTTAAAAGCAGTGTTATGAAGGATTTGGCAATATATAAAATTATCAGGATAAACCTCCATAGTTAATCAGGTTCAGGCAAAGTTATCGAAAGAGGGTGACGAGTGTATGAACGAGTGTCCTAGAAGACGAACTAGAGTGCCCTACAGGACAAAATTAGTTTTCGGCTGTCTTCGCTTTCCATCATGGGGGTCGTAACCGCTAAGGCTACCAGTTTTTCGGTTCTACTGACACTGCTAAATTTCGGCTTTAATGAAAACTTACAAACATTTCAATTGCAATTACAGCAAACCGGATACTATGTATAAAGGAACCTTTCACCACTGCGTCTCAAAAAAGGAATTTTAGCCCTCAAAATTTGAGGATCGGTTTTAATAGTGTTAATATAATTAAGAACAAACAATATGAAATTTCAAAACTTTTACATGATAGCAACATTAAGGTATCTGGCGTAGCAGAGACATTTTTAAACAAATTTTGTTGATATTCATGATTACAAATGGATTGGTAAAAATAGACACAGTAAAGGTGGTGACGGTAATGTGATTTATATTTCTGAAGAAATTACAATTCTCGATGCTGACTTATTTAAATGTTTAGATGATGAATACGAAAGGTTATGGGTCAAAGTTAGCTTAGATCAAGGAAAACCATTATATATTGCTATAACTTATTTTCCTGTATAAGGAACAAACCCTGAATTATCTGATGAATTATATAATGTACTTCTTAAAGATATTTTGAATATTGATAGTATGGTTGAACAGGATGATCCCACATAATTATAATGGGAGACATGAATAATAGAATTGGTGACAATATTTGTTATGGGGATCTCAAATGGTAAACGTCTTCTTAATTTTGTTGATGATTCAAACCTTACTATTCTTAATTGTGCAAGACAATGTGTTGGAAAAATTACATGGTCAAGGGCAAACTCTGAAAGTACTAATGATTGGTGTTAAGTTTAAACCAAAATGTAACATGGTTTGATAAGAAAATAGATGAAGCAATTAAACAAAGGCCAAATGCCTGTAAAAACCGTCGGAATTGGATTAAACACCATAGCGATGACACCAATACATGTGAGATATTTGGAATACTTATCAAGAAAAACGTAAACACACTAAAAATTTGGTTAAGAAAAAAAATACTGAAATGCGTGTTGATTAGTCCATCAAAATCGCAAAAGAGGGTGGTAAATCTTCCAGTGAATTTTGGCAAATTCTAAGAGGCTCACATAAGAAAACCATTATAGATAGTAAGGATTCCAAGTAAAGATGGGATTACTTCAGATATAAATATGAATCAAACCATCGAGCAATATTGGCACAAACTAGGGAAAATGAAAAAGAATCTATATGAAGAAAGTAATACTTCTGAAATGAAGGATCTTGATTATTTGCACAGCATAAGTGATAACATATATGAGGATGAGTCCCCTGATAAGTGCAAATCTACCGTGTGGCTTGTTTGATTCTAGAAATAGAAGAGGCTGTGTCCGTTTGTTAGTCTGGACAGGACTATATGTGTTGGTCACATTTTTTCATAACTGATTATTACATTATACAAATGCTAAGTTAAAAAGCCTGTATTTGGTATTGTTGGAACATGCAGTTTTAATTATTTGAATAATTATAAAGCAATGGTTGACTATAGCAAATGCAGCGTCTCTTTACCGATGGTTGTTCGTCATTTCTGGAAGCTTCTTCGGTTTCCATTTAAGATATAATTATATGTATACATTTATTCGTATGTTTATTCTGGTATAAAACATGTAAAAGTCAAAAACTAAAATCAATCACAAAAGCCTCACAGACATATATATTCTCAAAGTTGTGACTCTGACGTGGTCTGTGTATTGCTGATATATAATACCATGTCTAAAACTACTGTACGCTATTTAAAATAATAGCAAGGATGATCTACCTACTTGGTTTGTACAAGTTGAGGATCAGTTCGTAACTAGTGGACTTACTGTTGAATATACACATATAATGCTAATGCTTTTCTCCAAACTAACATTGCACAAGAAGTGTAGAATTCCACCTACAGTATTTTGAAACAACTGCTGTGCAAAGATTGTTACCAAAATTATGCTAGCCTCAACTATTGCAAAATAATCCTGAGCAGTGACAGACACCTTGCCTTGGGTATTACTCGAGCGCATAGCAGTTATAAAACGAGAACTCTTCAGCAGAACCTGATGTATTTGGTGCTTCTTAGTAATTGCTCGTCAATGTAAAACATGATGACTAAAGAAATACACGTAACAAGCAAACGTTGTTGTCTGTGGTAATTTCTTCGAGCTTTGAATCAGCTTTCAGTGGCGAATTCAATGGGAGGGGGAGCATCCTGTCCGGCCCCTCCGCCTCCCCTAAATATTTCAAAATTTAAAGAAAATTTAGGAAAAAAAAGAAGAAAATTCGACTAAAATTTTGCGTCTAAAAGTGCCATTTTCGACCATCTAGAGGTGCCTTAATCATAAATTATCTTACCTCAGCCCCAACCATGGTGGGGCTGAGGTAGTATAGACCCTCAATATATGAAGTCTTTCTCCAGGCCCCCTCTATAAAAAATTCCTAGATCCCCTACTGGTTTTTTGTTCTTTAAGTAATCATCGTCTACACGGATTACCATAAAAAAAAACAGGGGTAAATGTTAGCGAGTGTTGCTATCTCACGTATAAGTATTAAAACGTATGCAAATCGGCATTTAATTGTTTTGAAATGTCTTATTGGTAACTTTTATTTATTTTAAATTAGCAATTCAGTGTTTATGTAAAAATTTGAGGCTATTTCGTTTGATTTTTGGAGAGATACCCTACCATCTTTCTTACCGGAGGTAGCTCGTAATCTTTGCAGGATGTTGTTTCGGTGACATTTATCTTCCCCTTTATATAAATTCACATCTATTACTAATTAGTGTTACTACTACTATTCATGACATAATTTATCATGAAAAACAAAATTTACGTTTGTTAGTGGAACATTAACCAATAAATAATGTACAATAGCCACACTAGCATATTAATGTTAGTACGCTGCGATTCAGGGGCATGTCAGCTTTGTGTGTATTCCTTAAGTGCACATGTTGTATATGAGGCCCAATATTAGTTCATCTTCAGTGACATTACTTTATGGTTACCATATTATCTACATCAGGCTAAAATAAAAGTAGGCCAAGTCTATGCCATAATTATCATCTTAGCCAAAAGAAAAGCCCCGCCAGTTTAGTAAAGCTTCAGTATCAGTGTGTAAATGATACTGGTATCGCACCTGTGCTTTTGAAATTCTAATTTTCCAGAGGACGGCACATACAAGTGAAGATAAAAGGATTCCCATAAAGAAACCTAAAAACGTCATTCCAGCAACAAGAACAGTATATGAGCTTTACGATTTCTGAGGTAGGCCTACTATGTAAAAAATATAAAAGTTACATTTGCATAATAATAAACGACAGTACGTATTATAAAACATTTTATTTGTGTTATAGATCATTATATAAATTCACAAAAGCAAAATGATTTAATTGTTTATTGGCATTTAATGTACATAAAGTGTGTCACAAAGCGAGACGACCAATCAATCCATCAATAAATAAATCAATCATCATTCAGTCAATCATAACAAATAATACAGAAACAAATTACGTGAATATTCAGAAACACTGCAATACTGAAACATTTGTAGTTCATATAATACATTCATGATTATAAAATAGTATATGAATGAATGAATGCGTAAATAAAAAAAAAACAAACTTATGACTGAGCAAATTATGAAATAAATAAAAGGATGGATGCGTCGATGACAGATAAATGAATGAATGAATAAATAAATAAATAAATGAAAAAGTGAGTGAGTGAGTGAATGAATGAATGAATAAATGCAAGATTTAAGAAATATATGAATATATTTAAACTCACCCGTTTTGGAAATACTTGCTACAGATGTCAAATGTGTTGGTAATGAAAAGACATATTCAATTTAAAAAAAAGATACGTGAATAACGTTTTCAACTTATCTAAATTGTTGGAGAACGTATCAACTCTATTTTAATTAACTAGTCAGTTCATCAATATATTGTTATCATTTTAAGATTTAACATAATACAATACAAATTACAATATGGGTTATAACAAATGGTGAGTATAAAAACGAATGGAGAAATAATATTAGGCATACATTGTCAAATCAAATCAAATATTGTATTCAGTAACAATAATCCCATTTTTATCATGAAAGTATATAAATGAAGTCAGTTTGGTGCCTAGCAATAATTTGGATACTAAAATAAACGCATAATTATAGTAAACATTAAGTTTATTTTCAACTTCCGTCGGAATCGTGAATAAAACAAAACAAAAAT